GTGCTTGCACTTCCCTGGCTCTGGTTGTCAGCTGGCCCCCCTGTGGTACTGGCCGCCGTGTCTTGCAGGAGAGGTTCAGCCTTCTTGTGCAGGCTGGCGTGCCATCTGGCGGTCTGGCTCCCTGTCCTCTGGCGCCCGGTGGCGACGAGGACTGGCTTCAGACGAACCACACTCGGCGTCCCCAAGGGAAGCAACGAGAACCTGGCTTCAACCAAAAGTCGAGGAGGCAGCAGCCGCAGCGGACGAGGGACCCTCGTCCACCGGCACCCCACCCAGCGGCACGGCCCCTAAGGAGGCCGGGCCTCGTGCCCCGCAGGCAGAGCACGCCCGTCAGGCGGCAGAGCAGAAGGCGTCTGACAACCCCCCTGGCAAGGAAGCAGCCTGCTCTCCAACGAGCCCGGTGCCCACCGTGAAGGCCGACATCGAAGGGATCGACTACGACGAAGAGGGCGGAGTCGAAGAGGCCCAGTCATCAGCCTCGCTGCCGCCCTGGGAGGCAGTGGAGGGCGCCGCCGACCCGGAAAGCAGCTCGTTCCCACCCTCGCTCGACACCGCAGGCGACGCAACCGGAGGCAGCCCCTCCGACGTCACCAGCGCGGCCAACACAAGCAAATCCGAGCAGGACCGCGCAGAGGGCACGACCAGAGCCGGCGAGCCTCGCAGGCTGAGCCGGCGACCCCCAGCGCAACGTGGAGCTCGACAGGGTTGGCGAGTCGCCAGCAGCCAAGATCTCACGACTTCAGAAAGCACTCGGAGGAGTCTTCAGCTCCATCTGGCACGCCTACACCCGAAAGTTCCCCGTGGGACCTAAAGGCAAGGCCAAGAGCGACCCTGCGCGGAACACCGAGGCAACCTACCACGGCTTCCTGGACGACTGGAAGCGCTGCGGGTTCGACGCCTGCGAGTTGGACCGTCGGCTCAATCTTCAGATCGACTGGGACCGGGAGCGCACCAAGTGGACGGGGAGCCAAGGCAAAGGCGCCCCCCAGCCCAAGGGCCGAGAAACAAGCTCCCATCATCCCTGGGACTGGGACACCTGGTCCTGGTCACACGCGTGGGACGGCGACGACTGGCAAAGCGGGGGCAAGCGAGGCGGCGACTACAGCGGCGACGGGAGAGGCGACAAGCGCTCCCGCACATGGCGGCGTGACCCTGACGTTCTCGGCAACCAGTGGCCGGCGGCCACTCCCTGGCAGCACGCACTGTCCCTCCCGTACTCTCGCGGCATCTCTTGCTTTGGCTCCCGCCGCCAACCGGGGCCTCCTCCCTCCCACATTGCGGGTCCGCCCGCCCAGGTTTCACACTGGACGCAGCCCGCCGCGCACAGACACGCTGGCCGCTGTGGTTTCTTGCAGACAGTGCCGCCCGCAGCTGCCTGCGGGTATCCTTGCTTGCCGACCTTCAGTGGGCCTCCCAGTCCTCGCGACACGCGGACGGCCCGCCACCCCGGCACGGTGGACTGGCTCAGCAGCCGACCGATGACTCGCGGGAGGACTTTCCTTGCTGCGTGGGGTGTGACGGATTACGCCCCCGCACGCCTCCGCAGCTGGCAGCTTCCACCCCTCGGCGCAGCTTAGCCCCGGCGCAGCTTCCCCCGGCGGTAGGTTTAGTTTGCTTGCTCGGCGCGCGCGCCGGCAACTAGGGTGCTCGCGGCCCGTGCTTACTCTACAGACGCTGTCGGCTGGTTGGCCTGCAGCTGCGACGAAAAAAGTACCCAACCAGCCCATTCAGAAACGATGCCCCGGGGAGTGGAGGTGATCAGGGAAGTGGGGGAGCATGCAGAATAACAAACAGCTGGGGAAGCCGTCCGATCCCAGAAGAGGGGAATAATGGTGGAGGAGGGGGAGGATAAAGAGAAGGAGGAGGAGGAGGAGGAGGAGGAGGAGGAGGAGGGTGAAGAGGAGGAAGGAGGAATAGACAGTGGGTAAGGAGGAGGAGGAGGAAGAGGAGGAGGGGGAGGAGGAGGACGAGGAGAAGGAGCATTTTGGCGAGCCCAGGGCCGTCTTTGAGTGTCTCGGGTGCCTCAGGGATCCTCTTGAAGACTCTTGGGGGCCTCTTGGAGGCATCTTGGGCGCCTCTTAGGGCCGCCAGGGCGCCTCTTGGGGCCATATTTGGGCGCTCTTGGGAGCCTTCGGAACGCAATGGGGGCCATCTTGGATGAGAGCGATCAAAGAAGAGGGGTTCCCTAATTTCTCCGACCCCCCCCCCCCCTGGGGAGCCCTGGAAGTCGCTTCGGCGCTCTTGGAGCGTTCTTGGGTGCCCTTGGAGCCGTTTTGGGACTTTTGGGTCTTTCCTGGGGCCCTCTTGGGCCATCCTGGGGCCATCTTGAGGCATGGGATGGCCATCGGAAGCGAAAATGCAAGAACGCAGCAATCATTGTTTTTCCTTTGGTTGTTGAAGGACTTTGGCTTCTTGGGGGCCTCCTTGGAGGTCTCGGAGGCCTCATGGAGCCGTCTTGGAACGTTCTTAGGGCCTCTTTGGGCATCTTGGGAGCCTTCTTGAGGCATCGTGCGCTATCTTGAGCCATCTTGGGGCTCATCTGGGACTCTTTAGTGGCCCTCTTCGAGCCGTCTTGGGCCATCTTGGGCGCTTCGCCGCCTCGCCGCCCCCCCCGTCCAGGTCCAGGGAAGATGGGCAGGGGGAGGGGTGAACCCCTTCCGCGAAGAGGGGTGAACCCCTCCGCGCAGGGGAAGAAGGTGTTGTAAGAGGAGGCTCCCTAGACCATCTACGCCCAGAGGGCTGGTGGGAGATGGGCGATTTGGAGAGCGGAAACTCTGGACGCCCTCGCTGATATGGTCCCATTCTGGACGGCTTACTCGATGCTGCGGCGAAACATCAGTTATCCCTTTTCCTTCCTTCTGTATTTGGCGATGGCCAGACGTTGCGTGCAGGTGACGTCCTGGCTGGTGTAGTGCTGCGACAGTGCTGGGTCGCTCCTTCTACCTGGGCGGTGCAGCGCTGCATGGTGCAGCATCGGCCTCTCGATTGTGGTTGCGGGTTTTCTTCGCAAGCTTACGGCACGCGAGCTTTTGGTTGGAGTTGTGTCTTGTTCACAGGCGTGCTCCAGTGGACACACGGATGACCCCACACTCGCGAGTCAGACGTGTGAGCGAGAGGCCTTTAATGGTCCGACATACATTTACATATATATTACGCTTATTGTTTCGAGACTGGTCGGAGGTTCCGGAGAAAATGGGTCCTCATTTGCATCTCCATATATAGTTTAGATTTCGTCAGTTGCGGCCAGTCGGACAAGAAGCCAAAAAAATACAACCGACGAAAGCGTCGTATGTGCGATGGCGCAAACCGAATTTCCTCCTCCTCCTCCACGTTATGAAAGGATCGATTAACAGTTGTTTCTTCAACCTGTCACCTTGGTACGGGTCAGACCAGGCTCGTTCGAAAACCAGTTCTCGTCCATCGCAGAGAGTGGTCGTAACCATTCTTACTACACGGGCGAAAGCCTGTAGTGCCCTCGCGCCGAGAAATAAACACACAACCCCATCTTGAAGAATGGCGCTCTCAGAGAGCACTGTTGGGGAGTGGGTTCGGACCAGTGCGCACGACAATTGCAGGCTCATGCGGATGAACCGGCGAAGGAGGCGTGGAGGCGGGGGCGGCTCGCAGTGGTTCACCTTCCTCGAAGTTCTGGACACTTGGCGCACCTAGACACGTGCCACGAAGATATGATCTGAGGCTCCCCAGGCCGAGTGGCGCTAGCTCTGACGTGTTGGTTTTAAGAGGAGGGCGATGACTTGGACATAGCGGTGAGGGATGAAGGTTTGGCAAAGGAGGAGGCTGCGGAGGAGTGGAACAGAAGGAGGAGGACGAGGAGATGGGGAGGGAAGGGTGAGGAGGAGGAGGGAGAGGAAGCGGAAGAGGAAGATGAAAAGGAACAGCGAGGGGAGGAGGCGGAGGTGGAAGAGGTGGACGGGGCGGAGAAGCACGAACGCGGGGACGCAGGGAGCGGACGGAGGAGCGAGGAGGCAGGAGGGCTTGTTAGGACCGGAGCGTGCCTGGCCGCTCGCCACCGCCACCCTGCGGAGGGACCACGCCCTCTCACGAGGTCGCGAGTCGCGGTGGGGTCTGGCACCCACGCCCGCAGCGCGCGGGGCTCCGTCGTCAGCTCCTCGCTTCTCTCCGTTCTGTGCGACCCAATCGTTCGATGTCGAGTCATGGGAGGCTTGGGCGGCGGCCTTAGAAACAGCTTTCCCTGCATCTGAACCGCAGTTGGCCCGTCGTCCTGCTCCTCCTCGCCCTTCCTGTCCCTCCCCCCCCTCGTTCTTCTCGTCTCCTTTCTGTGAAGGGGTGGATCCAGTCCAGGTCCGGTCCCAAACGTGTTCCAAACGCGATCCAAACGAGGCCCAACTCGGACAGCGTTGAGGGCCACGCGGCCTCGCACATCGAGCAATCGATTCCGCGCGGAGCCACCGGAGGTATCAAGGGCCGCCGCACCTTCGCACTGCACGCCCCTGCCCGGGGAGCCCAAGCGGGTCGGAACGGACGGAACGGGATGGTGCATTCAGAATGAGGAGGAGGAGGAGGAGGAGGAGGAGGAGGAGGAGGAGGAGGAGGAGGAGAGCAGGAGGAGGAGGAGGAGGAGGAGGAGGAGGAGGAGGAGGAGGAGGAGGAGAAAGACGAAGAATGCAGCATTCTTCGTCTTTCTCCTCCTCCTCCTCCTCCCAGGGCACGCGGAAGGGCCAGAGACCCGCACTCACGAGGTAGCGAGGCTCTCCTGCGAGGCCACATCGGAGCTCGGTCCTTGAGCTACGTGGATTGCCCCCCTGCCGGCCCGAGTGAGAAGGCAGGGCAGCACCACCAACCGCAGGGGATTTCGGCAGCAGTGCGCAAGACACCCGAGCAGGTGCTCTGACGTGGCACCGCCCTATGCGGATGTCCTCGTCTCTGTTCTCCCGGCTGGTGGACGGTGGACGCCCGGAGCGGTCGATTCTGCGAGCGTGAGCCTGCCGCCCCCTCATCCCTTGCGCCGCGCGGCAGAGGTCTGCGAGATGGTCGCCGGGGAGACCCCGTTCGAGGCCGGCAGCGTTTCGGAGGTCGGCCCTCCCCGAGGAGAGGGCAGCAGCAGCGGCCCCTCTCTCGTTCTAAGCCTGCTCCTCCTCCCTCTCGGGTCGTGGAGGGGGAGAGAAAGACGGCATCGAAAGCCCGGCGAGGGGGGCGTCCTCTCATAATCTTGCGCGCATCGCCGATGCACGGTCGTGGGATCCCCACCCTCCCCGAGAAGCCGGCTGCCCCCGCACCGGCAGTCCACCTCGTAGTGTCCAGGGAGGCGAGGCGAGGCGACGGTGCCTCCGATAGAGGGGTCTGACGTTGGGCTGAGGTAGCGACTGCCTGGAGCGATGTAACGAGACCTGAGATGGACGGGAGCAGGATTGACACTAGAGACGTGCCGTGGAGAAGTGCACGGTGATAACATCTCGGCGACGATGTCCGTGTACACGAGAAGGTATCGACGACGTAAGGGAGTTGCATCGCCTCCGCTTGCCATTTTGCAATGCCTCTCCTGAGACGTCACGTCACAGAACAGTAGTGACAACGATGCCACTCTTCGCATGTACCATCAGCCAGAGAGCGAGGACTGCCAGTCGCAGACGGTGATGAGAGCGACCGCAGCGAAGAAGCAGGAATGGCATGAATGCATTAGTACTTATCCCTTGTTCATCTGCCAGGTCCATAGAAGACTGATGGCTGGCATGGAGAAAATCAAGTTCGAGACGGAGCGCCTGGGACGGCAAAGTGTGTGTAGGTGTGTGTGTGTGTGTGTGTGTGGTTGTGTGTGTGTGTGTGTGTGTGTGTGTGTGTGTGTGTGTGTGTGTGTGTGTGTGTGTGTGTGTGTGTGTGTGTGTGTGTGTGTGGGGGGGGTCTGTGTGCGTGTGCAGGTGTAAGGTGTGTGTGTGTGTGCGTGTGCAAGTGCAAGCGCACGTGCACGTGTAAGTGTAAGGGTACGTATAAGTGCAACTGTAAGGGTACGTGCAAGTGTAACCGTAAGTGGAAGTGCAAGGTTTGCATGCAAGTGCAAGCGCAAGTGTGAGCGCAGGTGCTCTGCGCCGTCCACACGGTATCCTATCTCGTCCTGCTCGGCCCCCCCCCCCGAGTTTGCGCTTGTTGTTTGCCAGCGTCTGAGCCCAGGGACACCCCCAACGCTGAAGCTAACGAGGCATCCCTGCCGTTTGAGAGAGGCATCGGGGGGCGACTCGCGGAGGCCAGGCCCGGGAGAGGGAGGGCCAGGGGGTGGAGGGGCAGGGCGGAGGAGGACACGAAAGGGTGGGAGGGGGGACGTGCAGGCGCATTGGGGTACCCAGGCTCATAAATGAGAAAGAGGGGTGAGGGTGAACGGATGATTTTCAGGAGGGACGGGAGGAGGATCTCGAACGAGGGGGGGAGGGAGAGGAGGAGGAGGAGGAGGAGGAGGACCAGTGCAAAAACACAAGACGCATCAACGGTGTTGCAATAAACCCTCCCTCGAAGTTGCATCCTCATGGACCCTACGAGAACAAACTGTCATTGCAGGGCGTGGCCCGCTGAAAGACAACTGCCCGAAGAGTTCATGAAGGAATGAGTTAACTCCCCCAGGCCCCAAGAAGGGGAGGTGCCTCACCAGGATTCTACATATGCAAAGGGGAATCAATACTTTACGCAAATGGCAAAGGATTCGGGCACATAACAGTTCCATACATGTTTTGGGTACCCACTGATCGTTCCAGCACAGCAGTCGTGAAGTTTCAACGCGCACCAACGTGACTGTTGCATCCAGGCAATCCTGAACCGTGATGGAACATCAGCCCTGGGACTTCAATGCCCGGAGTCCAGATGACCGTTGTGCCATGACAGTTTAGAATCGTGCCAGAAGGCGGGTCCATGGACTTTAACCATGCGGAAACTTGCAATCGCCGCAAAGTTTTAGTGCGAGTATGCGCCGCGCGGAGGCGAAACCAGCCTCTTGAAAACGAGCCGCCCCCTATCCGGAACAGGCGTTCGGGCGAGTGCGCGCGGTGCTAAGGCGAGAGCTCCATGCTGAAAACGACCCGCCCGCCACTGTTGAAGCTGTGGCGACCCTCAAGACGCATGTGTGCGCCACAAAGACGGGAGCTTGATTTGGAAAACGGCGGTCCTCTCCATTTTCGACGTTGTTTGACATTTCATATTTCAGGACCACGGGTAGTGAGGAGGTCGCAGGCGAAACCCCAGGTTCGGTCTACGGAGGCGTCTGGGGATGCGACGGGTGTGTATGAGGTAAAGGGATAGTGGAGGGGGGGGGGAGGCTCTGACTGATCTAACAGGTACATACACGCATACATGGCGCTTGGGCCCTTGCTGGGTAATTCCTCTAGTTTAGAAGCTGGTTGTAGCTGTTGCTCAATTTTGCAAGTGTTGCATGCTGGTGGCGTACGAATCGAGCCTGCTGGTATCGGTTGAGTCTTTCCCAGGTGTCCTGGCCAGTAGACAAGACCGTCGAAACAACTACACAGATGCGGAGCGGCTCCTTTTGAAAGCGGGTCAATTGTTTGACACTTTGCGAAGTGGGTTTCATAGTCTTGCCTTGTTGCGTTTCTTCACGAAGCTCTGGAGTAACCCTTCCTCCTCCTCCCCCGTTTGTTTTCCATCCCGTTCCCCCCAGGAGGCTCCGTGGACGGACCTGGTTCGTGGCCTCTGCCAGCGGATACCGGAGTATCGCCTGCCGATGCAGGGCCTGGGCATCAGGGAGATAGAGAGGCGCCCCGTGCGGTCGGCGTGGCCCTCCTTACTGGTTCCTTTGTTCGCTTGGCACCTGTGTCTCTCTCTCTCTTTCTCTCTCGCTCTGTCTCTCTTTCTCTCCCTTCCTCGTCCTGAGAACACCGCAGCTTACCAGCGAAATGGGAGGGGCGGGAGGACGACGGCCGAGGGCAATCAGGGGAGAGGAGGAGCAACAGGACGAAGAGTTTAAGCTTGTTTTTCCGGAGTCGATTAGTTTGTGGTTACCAGCGCCCATTGAGAAACGAATTTCCGATCACTGGCTAACATCTTGAGACACGGTGGCCGACAAGCCCAAACGTGAGATTGAAGGGAAAAGCCCAATCAGTATCGTTTCTGCCGATTCGTGGATCGTGCTCGGGCCTCGTGACATTCGGGTCGACCCACCACCCACGCTGCGCACACTCTGTGACATTCGGATCGCCCCTCTGGTCTTCGGCCAGGCCCCCGACGCAAGAGTCCGTGACGCCCGATCGGGCCTTCTTCTTGCCACGGTTTCCGCCCATCAGCCTTCCTGGTCAGCGCAGAGTTGAAAACCCATGACACTTGTTGCCGAGGAAGACGGTGCAATCTTGTGCGTCTGGGATTTTCGCGGCCATGTCAATCCGCGGGTGCCGTGGGGCACGACGAACTGATTAGGAGAAGAAGGGGGAGATGGAGAAGGTGGGGGAGGAGGAGTGAGGGTGAGGCAGTGGAGGACGACGAGAAGGGGGAGGGCGGTGCGAGGATGGAGGAGCAAGAAGGAAAACAAGGAGGAGGAGGAGGAGGAGGAGGAGGAGGAGGAGGAGATGGGTGACGGCGAACTTGAGGTAAAGAGAGGACGGTATCGAGGGCATCTCTTGCGGAAAGAAGCGGAGGATGACGTCGAGGCAGAACAGCAGCAGCATCCTCAGGAGCAGGACGCGGAGGACCAGGATAGAGGTGAGGATGAGGAGGTCAGAGGAGGTGGAAGAGGTGAGGTGGACAAGGATGAGGAGGGAGGAGGATGGCGGAGAGGGAAGAGTTTGTGGGAAGAGAAGAGACAGGAGTCTGAGAAGGACGATGGCCACGAAGATGACATGGAGGAAAACGAGGATCGCGAGGGGGAGGACGAGAGGGAATCAGAGGATGCCCTGCTCGATGGCTTCGCCATGACGACGGATGTCTGGGAGCCACTCTGGAGCGCCAGCGTTTCAGTCCTTGGCTTGAGCAACCCACGGCCACCAGCCGGTGCGGAGGCTGAGCGGAGGTCCAGCAGTCTTGCCCGCCTGGTAGTCTCTTATGTACGGGGCCCCAGATTTCAGAGCCGACTGCGGTAAATTGATTATCGAGAAGGCATGGGTGAATGATCTGACCAGGTCGATTCTGCACAGAAGTTGTTAGAGCACACGACTACCTTCGAAGGATTATTGATCGGTGTTGGCGTGGCCGCCCCAAAGGCATCTGTAGCTTTGGTTTCGTTTTGGGCCTGGGGGGCGTCCGGAGTGTTGTTGCTGGGCCTCATCCCCGACCCGTGGGGTGGCCAGCTGGCCATAATTATCCTCCTGACTCTTCTCCGCCTGGACGGCCACACGCGTCATGGCCAATGTGCTCCGGCGGCGCTTGCGATCCTTGACCTCCTCGCATAGTGACGAAAACGGCGTGCTTGTTTTTGTCCTCCATGTTCGACCTCCAGGCGCCCTTATTGGGCCCCGTGACCGTCCAAAACGACTCACGATGAAAAGTTGGCCCGACTCGTGAAAGGCCCTTAGTTGTGATAAAATCACGACGTCGGATGTCTGGGCCCGGATATGACCGCGGCCAGTGACGGCGGGTGGATCAAGAGGAGGCGGGGGAGTAGGAGGTAGCGAGGCAGGAGTGTGCGTGCGCAGTCGGCAGTCTCGGCACCCGATTTTAGTCAATACGCACTGTGGTGTCGCTAGAGTCTCGCGCCCTTGGCCCTGGGCGAGCGAGGTAGATTCCTCCCAGGCCTTCCTCCTTCTCCTTCTTCAACATCCGTCAGTCTCCTTCATCCTTCGACATCGTCCGTCCCTCCTGCGCTACCCGTGCTCGACTCTCCCCCCCTCTGGCCATCCACCGTCTTCACCCCCACAAGGATTCGGCAGTCTTTGCGTCAAACCGCCCATCTTTTAATTCAATTGCGCCGTCGCCTTGAGGCGTTTGTGCATGCTCCTTCCAGCTGAATAAGCCCACAGTGTGCGGTGGAGTCCGTGAATAAGGAGTACCGTTCCTGAGAAGCAGACTTTGGCGCCTTCGCTTCCCGTGGACGCGGGATAGGTGGCCACGATTTCCCCACGATGTGCCGCCCATCAGCCGTGAGATCATGTGACCCTCAGCCTGGGGATTCCTCACCCAACTGCAGCCACAGCCTGCAATGTTTGAAGTCGCCGCCACGCGCGGAGCCACGCGACAGAGTCTGTCGGAGAAGAGGCCGGAGGTGCCGCCGGAGGAGGAGGAGGAGGAGGAGGAGGAGGAGGAGGAGGAGGAGGAGGAGGAGGAGATGCCACAGAACCGGGGTCCCACAAGCGCAGCAGTCGCCGAACCCTGGCCAGGGCTGTTTCGGCCCCGGTATTGAGGTCTCCCCAAGTCCCCGGAGGCCTTCGGAGGCCCCCTGCGGCTCCCGGATGAGTCCAGAGGCATCACCAGAGGCCAGAAACGTCCATGTGCCTCGAGCCTCAGCCCTCCCAGCTCCGTGCAGGGTGCATTCCGATCCGATTGAATCGATAGCGGTATCGATTCTTGCGGGCCCGGCCCGATTTGATTCGGACATTCCGACATTTCGGCACGGCGTCGTTGTGCATCCTGGCCCGGTCGATCAGGTTTGACTCCGGCATCGTGCCGATGCGGCCCTGCTCGATGTACTCTCCGATCCCCGGTTGCCCGGTTGCCCGATCCCATCTGGCGGCGCGCACAGGGGGGTGGCACGAGGAGGACGACCTTCTGAGCATGCAGGGAGGCTTCCTCTCAGAAGCCCTCCTGGCTTCTCCCAGGCCTTCCCAGACGTCGCCGGGCCATCCTGCGAAGGCCTTTGCCTTCAACGAGGCCCCCGCCGTCTTCGGAGCCCGCCCCTCTCGCGCCACCCCCCTGTGGTCGCCGCCACATGTTCCGCTTCTCTCCTTGGCGACAGCGGGCGTGACCGGGACCGGAAGGGGCGGGGTTGCAGAGGCCGGGGGCGGCCAAGAGGGGGTTGATGACTGGGGGAGGGGGGATATCATGGCGGGGGCCATGGTATCTCCCCAGATATCATGGTGCATCTTCTTATGTCAATGCGTACCCCGGTGCCCCCTGGGCCGCGCACATGCCGCTGGCCATGATCTGCGCCCCCCCCCCTCTTGGACGCCCCCCTCTTGGCAGCCCCCGAAGAGGGGGCTGGCCAGGTCACGATTCGCGTCTGCGCCCTCTGAAGTGCTCTGAACGGCGCCCGCTCCCAGACGGCCCTCGCCTGCGAGACTCGTGACGTTGCCGTGGGGAGAGGGGGCGGGGCGGGGCCGGCAACGGACGTCCTTGCGAATACTCCAGGACCGTGGCTCCTGACAGATTGCGCACAGACAGCCGCCCCAGGTCGTCCTGGCTGGCCTGAACTGGCCTCCTGGGTAGCCCGGGGCGGTCTCAATAACCTTGGGGTGCGGAGCGCCACAGGGGCGCCGCTGGAAGCGGCGCCAGGGTTCAACGGGACCTCCCTGAGCCACATGGGGGGGGGGGCAGCTGAGGCCTGCCGGGACTTCCTGAGGGGGCGGTCTGCGCGCAGCCCGGGGCCTCACCATTCCCCGGCCCGGTGCTGGCTGCTCCCATCGCGGCGCGAGGCACCCGTGGTACCTCGAAGCGGGCTTCGGCTGGAGGCGCCACGCGCTGCAGGAGGTGCCCGCGCCGCACGTGCCCGCGCTGGACGGGGACGCGGACCTCAGGCACTTCGACGCGTCCGAGCACCGCCCGCCGCTGGTCACCGCGTGCCCAGCCGCCTGCCGGAGGCGGAGGGGAGGGATCGGCGCAGGCGCGCTCGCGCCGCGACGGCAAATTCACGACGGCAGGTTCTGAACAGTTCGGCCTCTGCGGGGGCCGCCGCCGAGTCCTGGGCCCTCGTGCAGGCAGTGAGCGATCCAGGGCGACAGACGGCCCCGGGGAGGGGGGGGCGGGACTTCCGTGGACCGCGTACTGGAAAAATCATGGCACCGCATGCCCGGGAGACGAAGGCCAGTCGCGGCAACGCCAGCCCTCCCTGGCGTTTTTCGCGCCCTGTCTGATCCTCCTGAAGGCTTCTGCGTCGCCGCGGCTGGATCCGGACAGGAGGAGTCCAGGGATCGAGTCTGGACGGATTCGGGCCGCACGGGAGAGCCGCCGTTGTCTCAATGGGCCTTTCTGCAAGGTGAGGAGGAGGGAGGACGAGGAGCAGTCCCTCCTCGTCAGAGCCACCCAGACCCCTACACCTTAGGCGATGCTTAAGAAAACTTGCATTTTCGGCCAGGGTCTCGATTATTCTTAATGTTTTAATGTAAGTCCTAAGATTTTGACTGAAATTTTGGGTTTTTAGTCAAGTTCTGAGACTATGAATTTCTTAACCCATGATTTCTTAAGCATTTCGCAAGGTGTACTGAGGCTGTGGGATGTCGCCCCCCCCACAGTGGTGACAAAAAGATCTTCTCCGATGGCCACACCCCGTTCTCCTCCATCTGACTTTCTCTGACCTCTTCTTGTGGCAAATACCTAAAAAATGCAAGGTGCCGAAAGAAGAAGAACGGAATAAGCTCAAACCATCGGGGTTCCGCGCGGATCTCTCGGGTCGGCGCTGAGCCCCCCTGCCGGTGCCTCTGCCGCCGTCCACGTCGCGCTCCGCGCGCCAGGGAGGGCGGTCCGGCGCCGACCCAAGAGATCCGCGCGGACCTCCGAAAGGTTCTGCTTATGGCATGATCCTCTTGTTGCAGCGAGGTGGCTTTCCAAGCAACTCCCCTCGCCTGCGCTGCGAAGCCCGAAGGGAACGGCGCCCATTCTCACCTGGGAGGGGGGCTGGGGCGATCAGCGTGGCCCAGGTCCCTCTGGTGGGACTGTGGCGCAGTTTTGCTCGTCCAAGACGACCACGAGGATGAGGGGAGATGACGAGGAGTCGGAATGGTCGATTCTTTGCTGCCAGGATGGCGGGGTCTTTTCACACGACTAACCAGTGGCCCTGGCACGCAGAAGCATGGGGCACAGGCGCACCTTGGCGAAATCTGAAGTGTCAGGGCTCTCAGGGTGATCCGCGACGCTCGCGGAGCCATGGAGTATTCAAGCGAACCGTTGAGCAGCTGTAGTGGCGGCAATGGGACCGAAACGACGAGGACGAGGACGAGGAGGCCGAGGACGAGGACGAGGACGAGGAGGACGAGGACGAGGAGGACGAGGACGAGGAGGACGAGGACGAGGAGGACGAGGACGAGGACGAGGACGAGGAGGACGAGGACGAGGAGGACGAGGAGGGACGGAGGTGAGAGTGAGGAGTAGAAGCAGGAGGAGCAGCCGGCGGTGGGCGACGAAGAGCGGCAGACGATCCCTGAAGACACCCTGTCTATTCCCAGGGTGTCGATTGGCCCATCTGCGTTGGCTCGTAGATGCGGTTCTGTGCTTGCTGCTGCTTGCGAGAGCGCAGCTGACATGGGCCGTGCACCTCTCTGTCCTCCTCGCTGTCGTTCTCCCCCACCTCGTCCTCCTCGTCATTGTCGTCGTATGTTTCCTCCTCCTGATCCTCCTCCTCCTTCTCCTCTTCTTGTCTCTTCGCTCTCTCCCTGTCCTCGTCTTCGTCTCCCTCTACTCCTCCCCCCATGCTCGTCGTCGCCTTCTCTTCTCCCGGAAGCCAAGGTCGTGGACCCCATCAGGGACAACGAGTGGGACAACAACGAGTGGGCACATGACTTCGAGGCCCCGTGGGGGCCGCTGCCCCAGGCGGCGGCGCCCGCGTGATGTGCGCAGGGCCCTCTGCGGGACGGCCAGTCTCGAGGCGCGAGCTCCAAAGGGTGGCGCCGCGGGACCGGGAGTGAGACTGCGGGGGAGGCAGCGCGCACGGGGCCTGCGAAGTGCACCCCTGGCCCCAAGTGCATCCCCAGCCTGTGGCTCTGTTCTGGCGGGCCCTGGGGGCGGGCCACGCGAGGGGTGCTCCGGAGGCCGCGGGGGCCTCCTTGGAGATCCTGGCGGCACCTTGGGCCAGGGACACCTCTGGCAGCACCCGAGGCGGCCGGGGGGGGGGGGGGGGGATCGCAACGACGGGGAGGGAGAGGGCTTCGCCCCGACCGGCGCTTGACGAAGGTGCTGTGGCCTGCAGATTTGTGCCCGCGCCCGCCCGGGGGGCCCAATGCTCTTTCCTGCCGGCGAGACCCGCGCGGCGCGAGGAAATCGGGCGCACAATTCGTCGTGCCAGCCTCAGACTGACGCAGGTTTCACTAATTCGTGATTTGTGCTACTGTGCGGCAAGCGGCGTTGGCACAATCGTCCGCATCTTGGCCTCCACCCGTACACTGACGTGATGCTGGTTGAAACGTCGGGCGGGCGCGCCCCCGTCTTTCTGAGCATGCTACTTGCCGTTCGTGGCACTGTTTGACGTTTGGGGGACGGTGCGCTCACTTTTAGCAACCTGTTCCCACAGGCAGGGACACCCGTTCCCCCATGGCGGTGCCGGGGGGGGGACTAGGGTTCAAAACGGCTCCAAAACGTTCCATTTGCGATTGCGCCCAAAGCGTTCAAGGCTTTCTCCAGTATGGCCCAAAAGCGTCCCATCTTGTGCAAAGACGGCCTGCAATGCGCGCGAAGAACCAAAGGGCCACCCGATTTTTGTTGGGTGAAGTTTTCCAGGAGTACCATTGGAAGCGGTGCATATGCTTCACATACCGGAAGCCTGGCCCTGGGGTCCCCAGGGCCGACGAGAATGGAATTGTCACGTCCGCTCCAGCCGCGCTCACACATAAGAGTTGTGGTGTCGCCCAGAAGCAGGTACTTTTGCAACAGAGAAGTGTGCTTTAGCTTCAGCGGTGGCTACATTCCTGGCTCAGAAATGTGCTCTCGCGCCAGGGCCGCCAGCACTCATGTTTCAGAGTCATGCCTCTTGCCTTAGCAACGGCCGCATTCCCAGCTCGAACGCAGCGACAGAGACGTAGGTAGAGACAGATACAGAAGTTGAAAAGCATAGACACGTAGGCTGGCCGTCTTCCATACAATCGCGTGGCAGCCGCGTGTGGTTTAATTTTGATTGGTGGAGTACGCCTCCGATCACCATTCGCCCAACTTGCTCTGGGGCTCCTTAGACGGTTGATCGCGGGAGGCCCACCGCTAGTGTGCAGTTGGCGCTGCCTCTTTTGAACGGGCGTGCTCCTGAACATTTCGCGTACTGTCATGTTTAGCAGATGCCGTTGGCAGCGTCTCTGGCGCGCACGGCGCTCGCACTTCCGCGCTGGTGCTGGTGGGATCGTGTGGAACGGCGCTGTCGCGGCGGTTGTGTCGCCCGCGCGCGGCCCGCGCGCGAGAGAGAGAGAGAGGGCCTCTCGTGGGCCGTGCAGGTCGACCGGCTGGCTTCGAGCGCGGACGAGGGTCGTATGTAGCGGGATAGTTACGTTTCCCCTCCTCATCCCCATGCCACTCCTTCTCCTCCCTTCCTCGTCCCCATCGCCCTCTTCCTCCCAGTATCTGTCCTTCTCCCCGTCCTATCTGAATGGCCTTCGGCCCATCCCGCCCCTGTGCCTGGGTTGCGGGTCTGAGGCCTCTTGGATGCTCGTGGGGATCTCGTCGAGGCCTCTCGGGGGCTGCTTGGAGGCAGTTTTGATGCCTCTGGTGGGCTGCCTGGGGAACTCTGAGGGAGTCTGTTGGGCCTCTTGGGGGCCTTTTGGGGCCTCGTGGGGGCCTCTTTGAAGCCTTTTGGAGCATCTTGCGGCCTCCTCGGTGCCTTTAGGGGCGGAAGGCTCGGATGTTCGGTTCGTCATCCCCCTCTTGGGGCCGTCTAGGGGCCCTCTTGGGCCGTCTTGGGCGCCTCTTGGGCTGTCTTAGGGCCGCCTTGGAGGCCTCTGGGGCTGTCTTTGGGCGGTCTTGGGGGCCTCTTTGTACGTCTTGCAGCGTCGGAAGCTGGAAAAGTGGAGAACCCATAAACATTGAACAACCGAAGGCACATGAACGATTGCTGCCCTCTTGGGAATGCTCTTGGAGGCCTCTCGGAACGTCTTGGGCGCTTTTTCTGCCGATTGGAGGCCATCTTGGCCGTCTTGGACAGATCGGTCAGAACTTCGGGGCCCCCTTGGCCAATCTTGGGTGCCTCTTGGGGCACTCTTGGCCCGTCTTGGGGACCTTGTGGGCCCGAAGCGTCATGCGACAAGACGACTGTGAGCCCAGGAGGCACGCCAGGAGTCCAAGAAGGTGTGGGAATTCTGGATCTGGGCCCCTCCAAGAATCCTCAGTATTGAGGACTGAGGCGTCAGGGATTGGGCAAAGGACTTGAGGACACTCCAACTCGTGCCTCAGGGCATTGTGGTGGATGCCCGTATCCACCCGAGTACCAATCGAGCTGCAGACCGATCGATCGTTCAACATGTCCAGAGGATGTGATGACCGCACGGGGTGGCCACGGGGCAGCCGATCGGAATAGCCGCATCTTGAAACAGCGAGACAACCGCGGGCAGACCTTGGTAACCATCCGCAGAAGAAACGCAGGGCAGACGCAGGGCGACACTGGAAAGGGAAAACCGCGGGACAACCCGAGGTGGAGCGCGACAAACGTTGGGGCGGAGGGCAATGCTACGCACATGCAAAAAGGTGGAGAAGGATACGTTTTGCATTCGCGCAGCCATTTCCAATGACATTGGTATAGGGACGATCGAGATTATGTAACACAGGCAATGCGGCGACGCAGTCAGACCTGGCAATGGACCACAGTTGTCCATGCACTGCTCCATGCAGCATGTCGTCATGCACGTGCGATTGCATCTTGGCTCGAATTATTCACCTGTACTGCAAGAGCGCCACCCTTGCCTCACCGAGGCGTGTTTCGCCCCATGCCCCCTCCCCTTCCCCGCCTTCGACCGCACTGCAGTTTGTCATTCATTGCCTACCGCATCAGCTCTGTGCTGCAAGACACAGGCACTATCCGCCCAGATGCGCAATTGAGGGCCATTCCCCCGCACGCCCCCCCGAAACTTTGGCAGCACATGCTTGCTGGACAACTCTCTCATCTTCATTGAGGACTACGGACTGTAAGACTCGACGTGTTTGGAATTGATTCCTAAAATCATCGCACCATCCTATCGGTTGTAACTTCGCCAGTGGATACATTCAGTATGCGTGGTATGACTCGTTGTGTCAATGCATGTGTGTTTCAGCACGGAATACGCCTTGTCGACTCATTAGTTCTGTCGTTGTTCCCAGAATCCATGTCGTGACAGCGGCCGTGCAGCCGCCAATGGCACCGAGGCGGGCGGGGATCCAAAGGTTTGTAGCTATCGTCCATGTCAGCCTGGACACTTTGAGATCGCAGGCGCTCGATCTTTTCGTCTACGAAGTTTTCTCAAGTGCGGCGGTACGCGTTCACCCGAGAAGCACATTGCCTTTTCAAATTAAGCGTTGGTAAAGTCAAAGTGGGGGCCGAATTGAGATCTAGGAACGCCATCCAGAACCTGCGAAACGGTGAGACATCGGCACCTGCCACTGCCTACGCACGGGTCACTTTGCTGTTCTCTATGGCCAGGGAGGCCATCGCCGGTCACGCAAGCATTTGCACGATATTCAGGGTTTTCTTGTGTTGCTGGTCAGCGCGCTCCTTCTCACACATCGCGTTGTGACATAAACATGCCTCTAATGGGCTTCTGTCGGTCCCCAGCGAGGCCACTTATGCTGATGGGCCTTCGTCTAGGGTGCTCGTAATCTCATTCATTCTGCCCACCCCCTCTGTTTCTCCTCGCCTTCTCGTTTCCACCACGTTTCTTTCTCTTTTCGTCTCACTCGCCCGTAGTGGCTGTTGCCTTCTGTCTTGCTTTCTATCCGACGCCGCCATTGATGCTGCCAGGCGCGCGAATGTCGCCACTTTGATGCGCCATTGACTGGTCCATGGGGGTGGTGTCCAATGCAGATCAATCGGGACCTCGCCCTTTCTGGGTGCTGGCAAGCGCACAACTGTCGCCGTTTCTATTCGCCCATGATGGTCACAGCGGAGTGGCGCCCCACCCAGATCAAACGAGACCTCGCCCTCTCTTGGTATTGGCAGGCGCGCACGTGCCGCTAACGTGGTACGCCCGTCAAAGGTCAGCGGAGTGGTGCGCTGCCCTGCACGCAACCGTCGTCACTTTGATGCGGCACTGACAGGTCCATCGGGTCGGTGTCGCATACAGATCAAACGAGACCTCGCCCCCCCTCTGTGTGCTGTTGTCACCGTTTCTGTGTGCCTCTGGGGGTTCCGGCGGAGTGGTGCCCCACGCGTATCAAGCGAGGTCTTCCCATCCCTAGGTGCGAGCAGGCGCGGACCTGGCGCCACTTTGCCGCGCCCCTTGGGAGGTCCAGCAGAGTGGAGTCCAATGCAGATCAGCGAGACTTTGCGATCCCTGGGTGCTGGCTGGGGCGCAGTTGTTGACACTCTGCTGCGTTTTTTGGAGGGTCCTGTGGAGAGGGGCTCCACGCAGGTCGAAACCCCTGGGTGTTGCCAAGCGTGCAACTGTCGTCTCGTTTGTGAGCCCCAGTGCCGCATGCAGATCGGAACCTGACCGCACCTCCGTGTCTTTCTCGTTATACCGGCTGTCCTTCCTCTTTATTATCCATGGTGCCGTTTTCGCACACGTTCTCCTTCACATCATCTCTGAACATCCTATCTCCTCGACTTCTGCGTCATCTTCCTCCTGCCCTCCCCTTCCCGCTCCTCTTATTCTCATGTCCGATATAGGCCCCATGGGCCGTGTAACGCATAGTCTCCCTCTACAGCGTCCAGAAGGTGTCGCGTATCTGTTGGAATGATCCTATTCGTTTTGGATGGACCCGCTGATGTTGCCTTCTGTTGTAGATGGGCTGGCTACGTCCACTGTCAAGTTGCCATCCGGTGCTGCCGCGCCGAATCATGGCGGTTGCTTTGCCGCTGGGTCTTGCTGCTTCGGCTCCGTGGCCATTTTCCCGTGTCCTGGGACCCCGTATTTGGGCCCGTTGCCCGCCGAGCGTTGTGCTATACCATGCCTTGCTATACCCTCGTCTAGCATCTCATGCCAGGCTGTGCTCTGCACTGCCGAATACTTTACGCTATGATGCAGACTGCTCAGCGTTCAGCTACCCAATACGATGCTATGGATTGATATCCAAACTCTGCAATGCATGCCAATGTACGCACTGTTAAGCTGGGCCAGTCTATTTGGCCGCGCCGTTTGTTCCAGCGAACGGCCTTCCGTCTTGGGGAGGGCACCTCGTGCACTAGGGCAAACGCCGCCTCGGACGCGGTCCTGTTTGGGCGTGGGACGCAGGGCTGGCCGTGGGTTTGCCGTTGTGTCGGCGTCGTCCGTTTGGGCGCGTCGAGAACAAACGGCGCGGTGGCATATACACTATGCCATGCCAAGCTACGCCCTGTCATACACTGGCATGCCTTGCTACGCCATGGTATGCAATGTGGCGTCGTGCTGCGACGCACTATGGTATGCCCCCCCATGCTATGCAAACTTGCTACTGAGCTATGACTCTGCGGCATGGTATCATTACGCAATGTTGATGCAGCGGTGCTTTGTCACGGCATGTTGTATTATTAACGTCTTGGCGTGGCATGCTCGGCTATGTTCTGAGATTTGGTTCGTGTACCATGCAGCGATGTGAAATGGCATGTTCTATCTTGTCACAGTCCACGGTATGCGTTGCTAGACATTGCGATGTCAAACCACCTTAATTGCAATGCGGTGTGGGATAGCTCAAGGATGTTGCACACTGGTATGCCAGCTCGTGGCCTGATCATATGCCATCCATGGGGGTCGCGCCGGATTCATGTGGATTGGTTCGTTTCCAGTGGGGCCAGTCTGGACTGTGTCACATCCTATGCCAATGTGGCCCTCCTGCTGCTGCCCCTCCTCCTGCCACATCCCCCCCCCTTCTCCTTCCGTCCCTGGGCATTATCGAAGACGCCTGCGGCGAATCAATGCCGCCGTCTGTCTTTTCGAGATGCCCATCCCGCTCAGCTTTGGCCGAAGTCTGGCAGAGTTGTTGGAACATGTGGTTCCCCATCCGTTGTGGAACCCACCGGGGGAACACTTGGAAGAGCAAGTAAAAGACGCGGAGAGGGTGGAGAAGGAGGAGGAGGAGGAGGAGGAGGAGGAGGAAGAAGAGGCCTCTTGAGGCCCTCTTGGGGCCTCCTGGGGGCTTCCTGGGAGCCTCTTAGGGACATCTGAGAGGCCCTTGGGGGCCTCCTGGGGCCCTTCGAGGTCTCCTGAGGCCTCTTGGGGACCTCTTGGAGCCCTCTGGGAGCCTCTACGGAATTTCTTGGCCTTCGGATGCTTTCTTGGGGCCTTCTTGGGTAGTCGCGGGTATATGAGGCATGGGGCCCTCTCTGGGTAGTCGTGGGTCTATGGGGTATGGGGCCGTCCTAGAAGTCTCTTGGAGGCCTCTTTGGCGGTCTTGGGGCGATCTCGGACCGTCTTGCAGGCCTCTTGGCGACCTCTGGGGCCGTCTTGGGGCAATCTTGGAGACCTATGGGGCCGTCTTGGAGCGTCGGGAGCTCGAAAAGTCGAGAACGCTAAAATCACTGATTCACCCCAAGGGGATCAATGAGGTTTGCCTCCTGGAGGTCCTCTTGGAGCCCTCCTGGAGCGTCTTCGGGGGCCTCTTGGGCCATCTGAAGGACAGCTTGGTCCGTCTTAGGGGCCATCTTGGCCGTCTCGGAGGCGTCTCGGGACCGTCTTAGAGGCAATATTGGGCCACCTTGGCTGTCTTAGTGGCGTCTTGGAGACCATCCTGGCCGTCTTGGGGGACCTCTTGAGGCCGTCTTGCGTGGGAAAACCGTTTGTGCACTTTCTTTCCCAGGCTTTCTGGCGGGCTTTCTGGATGGGCCGAGACACCCTCGGGAATTTCCAAGAAGGACCCAAACAACCTAACATTTGGCACGCCGTGCACCCCTGTGGCAAGCCGCAGGGGGCGGATGACGGAAAGCGCGCGTAACGTCGCGATCCGTATGCAGGAGAAATTAACAAGGGGGGGTGAGGGGGTTGGCCTCGGGAGGCCCAGATGACGGAAAGCGCGCGTAGTGTCGCGATCCGTTAGTTTGGAGAAATAACAAGGGGGGGGTGGAGGGGTAGGCAGTCTGGCCGTCAGTTGACGGAAAGCGCGCGTAGGGTCGCGATCCGTTAGCCAGGAGAAATATCCAGGGGTGGTGGGGGGTTAGGCAGTCGGAGCCCCAGATCTAATGCCCCTAATTTCGAACATTTTCGGCCCAAGACGGCCAAAGTCAGCCCCACAAGATCGCCTAAAAGGCCCCCAAGACGGCCCAAGACAGTCCCCAAAGCGCCCAAGACGGTGTCGGAGAGGTCCAATAGGGCCCGAAGACGGCCCAAGAGCGCTCCAAGAGGGCTTAAGAGGGCTTCAAGACAGCCCAACAAGCCCCCAAGACGCCGCAGGAGGCCCCCAAGGGGACCCCGCAGAGGCAAAATTCGTCCCACTCTCATCGGAAAACTCACATTTTTAAAATGTCCGCTTCTTTGGTCTTCGCGATGTCCAAGACGGCCCAAGAGGCTCCCAAGACCGCCCCAGGACGGCCTGAGAGGCCCAAAAGAGCGCTCCAAGACGGGCCAAAGGCCGAAGAGAGTTCCAAGACGGCCCGAGACGGGTCCCAGAGGGCCACGCAAGGTAAGAGAGCCCCAGGAGAGCCACAGGAGGCCACAGGAGGGTCCCAACAGCTTCCCAAGAGGGCTCCAAGAAGGCCACGGGAGGTCGCCAAGGAGACCCAGGAGGGCTCGCAGAGGGCCCCTGGACGGCCCAAGCCCGCCAAGACCGCCCAAGAGGGTCCCAGGACAGCCCCAAAAGGCCCCAAGACGGCCCAAACGAGCTTCAAAAGGACCCCCAGGAAGACCCAGAAATTCAATATTAATTTATGTTCGCACGGTTGGTTGCTGCATTACTGTACGTCGCACCGAAGCCTCAACACCAACAGTGCTCCAAGACACTACGCCAGCGACCTCGCGCCCTCACACAATATACGCGCTTTCCGTCCCCATTCCAAGTAGGTGACGGAAAGAGCGAGGTACGAGCGAGTGACGTTGAGCAGGGGGCGAAGCCCTTCTAGGGAGGGGTCCAGGGGAGGGGCGAGGACCGGACGTTTTGGTCGAATCGCCCGTTTCCCCCGTATTTTTTCGAGTGAAGCGGCTCCCGGGCGGCTCCCATGGCCCGTTTCTTCCCCAGACGGGCCCAAGACGGCCCAGAGGCCCCAGATATCGTCCCAAGACGGCCCCGGAGGCGCCCCAAAC